TAGCATTGTTTCTAGTATTTTTAGCAAGTTGCTAGCATGTTTCAAGCATGATTATCATGTTACTAACATGGTGTTACCATTTTGTTAACATGATTAGCAAGTTACTAGCATGTTGCTAGCATGATTCTAGCATGATTAGCATGTTGCTAGCATGATGCAAGCTTGTTTCTAGCATGTTTAACACGTTGTTAGCATGATTCTAGCATGACTAGCATGTTACTAGCATGGTGTTAACATTTTCTTAGCATGTTTAACAAGTTGCTAGCATTTTGTTTGCATGTTTAACAAGTTTACTAGCATGTTGCTAACATGATTCTAGCATGATTGCCATGTTACTAGCATTATTCTAACATGATTAGCATGTTACTAGCATATTGTTACCATGTTTCTATCATGATTAGCAAGTTACTAGCATGTTGTTAGCATTATTAGCCAGTTGCTAGCATGTTGTTATCATGTTTATAGTATGATTAGCAAGTTACTAGCATGATTCTAGCATTATGCTAGCATGTTTAACAAATTTGCTAGCATGTTACTAGCATGGTGTTAACATTTTGTTAGCATTATTAGCAAGTTACTTGCATGTTGTTAACATGATTAGCATGTTACTATCATGTTGTTATCATGTTTCTAGCATGATTAGCAAGTTACTAGCATGTTGTTAGCATTATTAGCAAGTTGCTAGCATGTTGTTTACATGATTAGCAAGTTACTAGCATGTTGCTAGTATGATTCTAACATGATTAGCATGTTACTAACATGATTCTAGCATGATTAGCATGTTACTAGCATGATGCTAGCCTGTTTCTAGCATGTTTAACAAATTGCTAGAATGTTACTGGCATGGTGTTAACATTTTGTTAACATGATTAGCAAGTTACTAGCATGTTTTAACATGATTAGCAAGTTACTAGCATGTTAACATTAGTAAGTTACTAGCATGTTACTAGCATGTTTCTAGCATGTTTAACAAGTTGCTAGCATGTTTCTAGCATTATTAGCATTTTACTAGCATGGTGTTAGCATTTTGTTAACATGATTAACAAGTTACTATAATGTTTAACATGTTACTAGCATGTTGTTAGCAATTATTAGCAAGTTACTAGTAGGGATGGTCCAGGCTGTCATTGAGGCTAAGGGTTGCCTGACAAAGTATTGATAGTTGTGTAAATACTGTCATACTAACAGCTGTCTGAATTATTTTGGTTGATTGTAATCTATTACATACCTTTCTATCAAAATTATCTAATATTATTTGACTGTATCTATTTGATAAATGAAGTTAACCAACTAACATTATACATACTCTTTTGGTTTCTGTACCCAATATTTAAAAAATGTACAAATGCAATAAAAGTATCGGTATCGGCAAGTACCAAAAATAAAAGTATCGGTATCGGTACTCGGTATCGGCAAGTACCAAAAATAAAAGTATCGGTATCAGGCGAGTACTGGAAAAAGTGGTATCAGTGCATCCCTAGTTACTAGCATGTTAACATGATTAGTAAGTTACTAGCATGTTGCAAGCATGTTTCTAGCATTATTAGCATGTTACCGGCATGGTGTTAAAAAAAACTAAAAAAAAGTTTTGACCCCCTCAATGAAAGTCTATTGGATTTTAGGTGGTTTTGATAGTCTGGTTAACGAAAATTGGTGGTTGTAGCTTTAAAGGTCTAGGAGGAGATACACTTTAAAATTTGGTCTCAGAAGAAGAAGAAAAAGAAGAAGTTTAAATAGGGTTTCAGTAAATTGGCTTTTTCAAGCCAACTTAATAATAGTATTTTTTTAAGATGTAGCAGTAAAGGATAGAGCAATGCGACTTTTGGAATTGCTTTTCCTTTTCATTATAATATCAGAATGGTTAATATATATTTTTTAAATGCTCTTTACCATTTTTGTTAGCATTTTTCTAGCATGATTAGTTAGTTGTTAACATGTTTCTAGCATGACTAGCATGTTACTAGCATGGTGTTAACATTTTGTTAACTTGTTTAGCAAGTTTACAAGCATATTGCTAGCATGATTCTAGCATGATTAGCATGTTACTGGCATGATTCTAGCATGATTAGCATGTTACTAGCATGATGCTAGCATGTTTGGTATCGGGCCCGATACTGGCCTCCTGTACTCGTACTCGTACTCGTTAAAATGCCCCGATACCAAACGCCGATACCACACAGCATGTGATAAGCGCCATATTTAAACAAAGAAACACTGACAACAGACAGCAGAAAGGAGTTATGGATGTCTACTACGAAGTATATGTATGCAATGAATATAATGTTAAACATTCAGTATTAACGCCTGTATAGCTGATGTGTGCGAGCTGATAAACAAAGCACGCTGAGTGGATTGAGCGCGCGGCGGCGCAGATGCGCGAGCTTGTCGAGTGAATATACCTTTCTCACAGACATCATTGGAAAGTTTATAGTTCGGTCGGATATGTCAAAGACAAGTAAGTAAAACAATGCACAAGTTACTTAACGGTAGGGAGAGAGCGAGAGAGAGACAGAGAGAGAGAGCGAGAGAGAGCACGCGCGCACTTCTGTTGTGTGATCTTTGATGTTCACTCACTGAGCACACGCATCATTTGAATTAAAACGAAATCGTACAAATAAAACCATTCATAGGGGCATTCACTATAATCATCATTTATTTTCAACCTTAGGCATACACGACTTTCTAGCGAAAGTGAATCTAGCAGCCTGTGTGAAATGCGCTAGACTGTACTATTCTGCATCAGTACAAACACGTGCAGGCGTTGCGCGTGTTTTGCTTGCTTGAGTGTTTCTGCATTATATGAGTGGCTTTGGAATATAAATCGCAGCACGTTTCAGATGAAAAAACGCGACTTCTATTTCTGAAAATATCACAGTTAGGAGATTTATAACGAGTGGTTCCCTGCATTATTACAGCAAAGCGCGTGATTACAGTACTAAGCCGCTGCTCTAATGCTATTAAATTAAAGATGATGTACCATAGAGCAAAAAATGAACAGTGAAAGTAACAAAAACTTGTAAAATACATTTTAATGGGCATAATTAAGTGTGAAAATAACCGAAGGATATACAGTGAAACCAAAAATGATTCAGAGACCAGATATAATTTTTGATATTTTTTTACTAGTGGGTGCAGGACACTATAGTTCATTTATGTAAGTGAGGATAGCAAAATAAAGTAAACTGTGACAAATCATACCCAAAAATTCTTCATACTGTGGACTACCAGTAAAATTGATACAAATTTGTGTCCAAAAATTATTCAGACCGAGTCTGGGAAAAAAACTGAAGTTGAGGTTTTCATGAAGCTGGGTGACAGCATGCCCAGGAGACTACAGGCTGTCATTGAGGCTAAGGGTTGCCCGACAAAGTATTCATAGTTGTGTAAATACTGTCATACTAACAGCTGTCTGAATATTTTTTGGTTGATTGTAATCTATTACATACCTTTCTATCGAATTTATCTTACATTATCAAGCTGAATTTGTTCTGACTCAGTTTAACTCTGAGTTCTTGTCATATTTTATTACCATTTTCTAAACTATAGCGAATAAACTGTGATAATGTGAGAAATGTTGAAGGTGTCTGAATACATTTTGGTTTGACTGTATCTATTTGATAAATGAAGTTAACCAACTAACATTATACATACTCTTTTGGTTTCTGTACCCAATATTTAAAAAATGTACAAATGCAATAAAAGTATCGGTATCGGCAAGTACCAAAAATAAAAGTATCGGTATCGGTACTCGGTATCGGCAAGTACCAAAAATAAAAGTATCGGTATCAGGCGAGTACTGGAAAAAGTGGTATCAGTGCATCCCTAGTTACTAGCATGTTAACATGATTAGTAAGTTACTAGCATGTTGCAAGCATGTTTCTAGCATTATTAGCATGTTACCGGCATGGTGTTAAAAAAAACTAAAAAAAAGTTTTGACCCCCTCAATGAAAGTCTATTGGATTTTAGGTGGTTTTGATAGTCTGGTTAACGAAAATTGGTGGTTGTAGCTTTAAAGGTCTAGGAGGAGATACACTTTAAAATTTGGTCTCAGAAGAAGAAGAAAAAGAAGAAGTTTAAATAGGGTTTCAGTAAATTGGCTTTTTCAAGCCAACTTAATAATAGTATTTTTTTAAGATGTAGCAGTAAAGGATAGAGCAATGCGACTTTTGGAATTGCTTTTCCTTTTCATTATAATATCAGAATGGTTAATATATATTTTTTAAATGCTCTTTACAAAAGAGGTACACTCATGTCATTGTAATGTAACTGATAATATTTTTTGGTATTTTTGCGTTCTAGTACTTGATGGAAGATTAACCAAATTTGATAAAACAGGGAAGAAAAAAAACTTCATCTGATTGTACACAATATGATGGTGACCAGTTAACATTTACCAGACCTAATCTTAAACCTCAGATTAAGAATCTTGCACACTTTAGTTACAAAAAGTGATTTTTTTCAATATTCATCTTAAGTCTTGAAGGATCTTTTTAGGACAATTTCATAAATACTGGTTAAGAAAACACACACACACAGGCTACAAGGAGACTTTGATTATTTTGTAGACCAGAACACTGCAGATTCTTCCAAAAAATGAAGTTTACACCTTCTACTATTACTTTTGAAAAACCATAGGAAAACCCACAAAGCAATTACCAATGCCAATTAATAACCATCCTTTCCTTTTTAATAAACGTATTATTTTCAGGGTCAGATAAAACACCATTCTAATATGTACTTATTATTATTATTATTATTGCATTATTGCGAAACTCGATCCCCTGCTTAAAGTCCTGACATATCTGAAAAAACTAAAACAGGAAACAGAATTGCTTGGGCCCCAAATATTAGAACAAATCCTTTTTAATAACCAGTTTGTCTACTTATTAAATTGTTTTATTGATTTTTCTGTGCATCGTTATTGTGGTAACAGTTCATCCATTGAAATATAAAATAATGTGTGCACTTATACAGAAATCATGAGATATTATACACGGAACACAAAAGTGGCACCACTTTATTAAAGGATATTAAAGGATATTTAGAGAAAAGGTTTTTTTTTACATTGTTTGATTATGCAGACTGACAGTCATATGTCACTGTCTATGACATCACAGTATCACAGATGTTGCTGCTGACAGTTCTGACTGTTGCTAGGTGATGATGTCACAATGGAAGAACACAATGACATCACTCCAGTGGCTCTGATGGACAGACAGCAGATGTAGATGAAGACATCTGGAACATCAGAATCTGAGACATAAAAAAGATCAAATAGATTCAAAACCATTTTTGTAGCCATTGTATTTAATGTTATAGCCAATTCTCAATATCAATTATTTCTAACCTCTTCATTTTTGTTTTCTGTTTGGTTTTGAAATGAGATTCTGATGAAATACCTGTTGAATCATAATTCACATTCTTATAATCTGAATTCATTTCATTATACGTCAAGTAATTAGATATTTTACTCACCACATCCACGGAGCCGCTATTATGAGAAACTGAAGTAAAAACACCAGCAGAGTGACTGTATAATGGCTGAACGCTGTGCTGTCCACTGGATCTTCACAACACAAAGAAGTGAATCAAGACTATCAGAGAAACCACCTGAACTCATCAAACATTTCACACTGAAGCACATGTATCATGAGAGATGTGTTACCTTCTACAGCACAGGAATACTGGTGAAGATCTTCATTGCTGACTGAGTCCAGGTACAGCTTGTTAGCTTTAGTGAATCCATCCGTTACCTGTCGTCTGTTCTTGTACCAGATGTAAGTATGTTTGTCGTTCAGAGTGCATTTAGTTGAACAGCTTAATATCACTTCCTGTCGCTCTGATACAACAGATGGGCTGCTTTTCACCTGAGTATCTGAAAAAAAGCCTATTAGAAATTATACAGGAAACATTTTAAATATAATCAGTTTATCATGATGAGTTACCTGTAACAGTAAGAATGACTCCAGGTGATTCAGAGTATTGATCTAAGTCAGTGATGAACCTGAATAGATATTCTCCAGAGTCGCTGATCTTGAGCTCTTTGATTCTCAGTTTGTTCCCCACATACTCCACACGACCAGCAAACTGATGCTCCTCACGCAGATCCTTAAAGTCACCAGGCCGAACGTAATGCCAGAATGTTTTATATAGAGTATAACCAGAGGGATGTGAGTATGTGCAGGAAATGTCTACTGTTGAGCCCACCGAAGCACAGACTCTTCTAGAGGTGTAAGTCACATCCCAGCAGCCACTCTTAGAAATGCCTGAAAGAGACAGATTACTGCTGTGAAACTCACAATTAAGGTCTGTTCACGTCAAGATGAATGTTTCTCATAAAAATTCAGTGTGATAATAAGCATTTTAATTTGACTCAATGGCTGTTAATGGGAGATCTCTTTCTCGCCCATCGCACTCTGAAGTAAACTGTCCAACCAGTAAGATTTGTGCTTTTGGTCACGTAAACGGAGCTGCTTTCATGACTGAACAAACCCACTCAGTCAGATTGAGTGGCAAAACGCCCTGCAACTTGGTACTAGTAGGGGAAAGTGTGAAAACGAAAGTAAAACAAACGATTGTCTGTTTAAATTAAAGGCCACTTGACTCAACAGTAATCCTTACAAATTATAAAAAGAACCACTGGTCCATGGACATTGACATGTGCAAACCCTCTATTTGAGGTTAAGCGTATCCCAACATTCACAATGTTCAAGAACTCATGTGCCCCGAAATCATGAGAATAAGAAAACATTCCAATGTAAGTTAAACATTACAAATAATTTGGTAGTAAAACATAAAGTGTTGCACATTATAGTGGTGCAGTGATCGGTTTGTGTATTTTCTAAAATGTTTGCAACTGCTTTTTAAATCACTTATGTAGAAGCAACACAATTACTTAATTTACAATTTATAACACTATGATGTGCGTTCCATTTGGTAATCAAGAGTTTTACACTTGAGGTCTTAACAGTTAGTTGAACACTTATGAAATTGCAAACTCATGAAATCTACATCATGTAACCAGTGGTCAAGTTCCAAGACAGCAAGAGTGTGGATTGGAACGGGCCCCCTGTCCTCGTGGTCTTCCTCCGTGTCCATATTTCTGTGACTCAACGGCACTTTGATTTGAACAGAAAAAGTGGAAATCGCGCAGAATTTATATGTTGAACATTAGTCTTGGTATGAAAATACCTTTAAATGTGTCCACATATATTCACGTACTAACACTGATATTATGTTAGTGCTCATTCAATAAAAATATTAAGTGTCACTCACACACAGGAGAGGAGGAGTTCATAAGATCTGGAGTAAGAAAACAGGAGTAACTGGCAGCAGCTTCGAGTGAAACTTCAATGCTCCTGGAATGACTAAGATCTTTTACATATTGTCCATTTTTTTTCCAGTAGTAATTCTGAGGTCTGGACGTCAAATCACAGGAAGTCTCACAGATCAGTTCTACTGTCTCATCTCTTGGGTCTGATGCAGGATTCATCCTCACCTGCAGGTCTGAATTAATGTAAAAATGAATAAAACTTGACAAATGAAAACAGCTGAAGTGACCAGAATCTAGTTTCACCTGTGACTGTTAGACTGACGGCCGCTGAGCTGAGATGTTTAACTCCATCCTCCATGATGAACATGAGCTGATGTTCTCCAGAGTCTCTTTCTCTCACGTCTGATATTGTGAGTGTTGAATGGCTGCTTGAGATCTGATGTTTCACCCGTCCTGAGTAGTCTGAGTCTAAAGTCAAATCTTCAGGTTCATTGTTTTTTCTCCAGTTTGTACTTTGTTTCTCGCTGAACCAGAACGCAGGTTTGGTGTGGATGTTGTCATAAGAACACTTCAACTGCACATTGGTTTCCCTCAGAGCACAAATATTCTTACAGATCACAGAGATGCGGTTCAATGTTAGAGAGCCTGATTAAAAAAAATTACAAATTAACAAAGTAACACTGAAACCAAAAGGTTTGCATTGATGGAGAGATTCTCATCTGACAAACCAAGTGATTCACTATGAGAGCAGTGAGGCATCTCTCCTTAAAGTCTAAAATGTCCTTAGTCTGTGTTGGAACAAATTTTGATGAAATAACTACAATCTATTAACACAATAATCTTACCTGAAATGTGTAGAAGTAGGATCACTGATGCGATTCTGAAGTCCATGCTTTAACTTTCAAAATAATTCACTTCTTTGTCTAGAGTAAAACAACAAGAACGTAGTGAGGCAAGCACTCATTCATGTCAAGCCATTTATCACAATAGCTCCTACATTAACTGCATTTGTTTCAAGTTAAAACATGGGTAAAGAAATGTGGTGTCAATGTCTAAAGTTTAGCAATTAGCAATTAGGCAATCAGATGATCTTATTTCCTTCCTTTTTCTCCAGTCTTTTACCCACTTGTTGTTGGGCAACTGCAGTTAACCACTCACTTCTTGAGCATCTCTATGTTTGGAACCTTCCAGTTAATTTTTGAGTTAATGACAAACAAGGATAAATCTTGTTTAAAACATGTACATGTTTCAAATGTACAGAAATGTGTTTGTTGATTTCATATGGTTTTGGAAAAACCTTTACATCATTTTCAACAAAAGTAAAATTAATGACTCTAAAATGTGATTTAACTGTGACCATCAAAAAAATGTTTTTTTTTTACACCCTGAATATGAGTGAGTGAACATCTTAATCATTATCTTCAAAAATGTTTTTAAATGTTTTAATGCATTTTTTTCATTAATTATTGTGAGTTCATTTATAAATATATTTAGAATTTGCACCACATGCTATTTTAAAGAAATAGCAGTAAAAGATATAGCAAAGCTACTTCAGACATTTTAATTAGGCTTTTTTCCCCCCGTTTTAATATTAAAATGATTAATAACATTCAGAAAAACAGTTCATTTGATTGTCCACAATATGATGGATATGTGTGTAACCTTTGGCCAAAAGTATTAAAGAAACCCGACTACACCAACTAGGTTATTTCTCCACCCAGGAAAAACAATGGCGCTGTTTCAGGGGCCCTACGCAGCTTGCGTATTTAGCGTATAGGTAGGATCAGCTCTGAGTAACACGACACGTAAACAAGGCGCAGCGCGTGCGTGTTGTACGTCAGCAGCATCACGCGCATGCGTAGTGCTACTCTCGATAACGGCGGTAGATGGTAACTCGGGGGAGAAGAATTGTTGAATAAAGTCGTTGTTTTAGTTTTTTTGCGCACAAAAAGTATTATCATAGCGTCATAAAATTACGGTTGAACCACTGAAGTCACATGGAATGTTTTGACAATGTTTTTGGTACCTTTCACTTGGAGCTGTAAATCTGTGCAATATAGGTATAGGCTACATGAGGTGAGAAGTAATGACTATAATAACCACTAAAAATCTCAAGGGGATGTTCAGTAAAGTATATAGTTCTATTTTACAGTAATTGCTGGTTCGAGGATCGAGCCACAAAACCAGTAATTTAATTTGTGCATAATAGCCTACATATAAAAGTATAAATAAAAATATACAGCAGAGAAGTGATATGAACATTTATTGCTTAAGTACACACTTAAGCACATTAATAATAATATTTGCTGTACATCAGATTTAATAACAGCTGTTTTAATAAACAAAAACATTCAAAATATATGCAAAGAAATATTGTTTCAGCATTGCAAGGTTTTTATTCCCATTATCCACTCATAAAACCCCAGTTCCCGCTGATGGTCAGGGCTATTTGGTATAGTCTTATTTGTCTCTGCGGTTGTGCTTTAAAATAAAATTAAGACACAATTGCGGGTTTGTCCAATGTCTCACTGAACTACAGTAATTTATCATCATATTATCATAGTCAGTTTGTGCTTATTCACCGATTCTAATGTAAATATGAAGAATATACATTTAAATATATATTATGCAAAATATTATAATAGCTAAATCTCAAACAGTGGATCATTTTTATCAGCATATCGCACAGCTCTTAAACTGCTCAATGTTAAATCATATGTCTGCTTTTATGAAAATCTGACTTCATTTAATGTGATATAGGTATAGGACTATATAGTGGCCACTTAATACGTGAGCAGCACATATTACACAGCTCTGTTCTGCCCGAAGTAGGCTACTCGGAGATGCCGTCACCAAGCGTTTGTTTGTAACTTAATCTAACTAATTCGTCTTAAGTTAAAAAAAAAACATTAGCCAATTGATTTTAACTGAAATTGCTGTGGTTAGCTCTTAATATTACTGTAGTACATGCAGTCAAACAGCATAGATCGTTCATAAAAACATACATAAAAGAATGTGCATGCTCCTGTATCCAGTGTCTATGCCAATAAGCTCTGCTGTATTATAAACCAATGAAATGTGGGGGTGGGGGAAATGTGTTGCCCCGCCCCATCGTTCAGGCTGCACTCTGGAGTACTTGCCATAATGATTGAGCCACACACGTGTGATCAATGTCAAGACGCCGCTCAACGCCAGTGGACGTGTCTTTCCATTTGAGATATATGCAAACATTAAGGTGGAAACAAAGACACTCAACCTGTCACATATGCATTGGAAACCAGTTAACAATTAACCAGACCTAATCTGAAACCTCAATATATTGATTCTTGTGCATTTTAGTTACTAAAAGTAGCCTAATAATTTAATATCATTTAATATACCATCTTAAGCCTTAAAGGATCTTTTAAGGGTAATGCTGCCTTCACACACTGTTGTAATTATCGTAAATATGAGTTTCCTAGTCAGAAATTGCACATGAAGCATCTCAAGTCATATTTTCAACTGGGACTGGTAACTGGGAAACTCTGAGATCATTTTGATACCCGAGTTTCTGAGTTGGGCGGCTTATAAACTTTAAATATGGCAGAGGAGAGAAACATAGCTGTAGTAATGCAACGTTTTAAACTTTCCTATATTTACTCTCAGAAGATCCTTTTTTTTTTTTTTTACTAAAGTGTACAAGACTCGATATTTGTCAGATTAGGGCTGGTAGCCTAATTGTTAACTGGTTTCCAATGCATGTATCCATCATATTGTGGACAATAAGATCAACTGTTTTTTTCCTATTTTGATATCGTGTCAATCTTCCTTCATGCACCTGAATACAAACACACCAAAAAGTATTGAAGTATTGTCTTCACGGTTAAAAGTGACCGGACACCTGAAATGTAACTTTATTTAGTCATATTTTTTCTTTTGTATTTTGAGAAAATTTTATGGTACTAATTAATTATTATGCAATAATTATGAACAATTTTTCCCATTGAAATTAGTACATAATGTTTTTTTCTAATTTTTCAAAATTATTTTTCAATTAATTCAGTAATTCAGATTCAAATAGAGACTAGGCCTTTCAAATCCAATTTTGAATGCAGATTATCACCACCTGGTGAGAGCAAAGAAAGAAAAACATGTAATTGCATGGTGTAACCACTAAATGCCTGTATAGCACTCTATAGAGAGGCTTGTGAATTCCCTAGTTGTTTTTAGACATAATTGCTTACTTATATTAAGTTGTGGACTTGAATGTATATTAAGACATTCTCAAAGACTATTTTTTGTCAAGGTTTATATATTTTTTTTTGTTTGAAATATTGATTTGAAATGTCAGTTTTTGCATTATTACTACTACAGTCAAACCTGAACACAGAGAAAGCATTGTTACACAAAGCATTAAAATTCTATTAAAATGTAACAAAAATTAACAGGAATGCTTTATTAGAGTTTAATCCTTCTGGGTCTGATCTGATTTCAACCTCTTATTTCAGACTTCTGACTCATTTTGGATATATGTTTATTCCATTTGAGTGTGTATAATTGTGCATGTGTGTCTATGAGTGTGTGTAAGTGAGTGTGTATGAGTGGATGTGTCTGTTTTGCACTCTTGATGTTTTAGAGTGTAACCCCTTCCTTGTGGTCCACTTTTTTACTGCATTGTGGTTGAATTATTGATTTTATTTTACACATTTGCTGTGTTACAGTCACACCAGTTTATAGGTGTTTGTGTGTATAAGTGTGTGTGTGTGTGTGTGTGTGTGTGAGTGTGTCTGTTTTGCACTCTTGATGTTTTAGAGTTTCACCCTTTCATTGCTGAGTACTTTTTTTCTGCATCGTGGCTGATTTGTAGATTGTGCACACAAATTTTTTTGTCCATTTCCGATTGATTTCCTATGGTCGGTCATTTTTGACCGAAGACCAAGAGTGTGACTATTTTTTTTACGACCACTTAGCCAGTTCGAATCATGGCCTTCATTTTTTTTCTGTGTTCACATTCCAAATGCCATAAAAGTCAACAAGTTTCGTACCATTCCGATTAAGCTGTGATTTTGGTCATTCTGCTCATTAAAGGGGTCATATGATGTTGCTAAAAAGAACATTATTTTGTGTATTTGGTGTAATGAAATGTATTTATGCTGTTTAAGGTTAAAAAAACACATTATTTTCCACATACTGTACATTATTGTTTCTCCTCTATGCCCCGCCTTTCTGAAACGCGTTGATTTTTACAAAGCTCATCGGTCTGAAAAGCGAGGTAAATACAACTTAACCACTGATTTCTAGTCGTGTCCTCTTTTGGAAGACCAAACAAAGTTGTTTCGCTTTCACAACGAAACACAGCGTCACACGCGGTGCGGCCTAGAGTGAGAGGAGGCCGGTGAGCTTGAGAATGGCGCGGCCGGTGGATTTGACGAAGGAGCAGCCGGCGGGCTTGCGGCAACCACATGTGACGACCCCGGGCTGGACTCCGCTTCGTCCACGTTGAAAGCCGATCCGGCGATCCACCGCGCGAAGTTGATGTATTTCCTCAGCGACCAGCACGGATCAGCTCCAGGCATGACGAAGCGATATCGTCCTCTTTTGGAAGGTTTTAGGTAGGCGTGGTTGACACTTAACTTTTATAAAGAATATCTCTTTGGATTTGAGACTTTAGTCTTTGCAACTTTACAGATCTTCTTTATGCACCAAGAGCTTGTAACACTCCAAAGAGAAAGGAAAAACTGAAATCGCATCATATGACCCCTTTAAAAATAAAAAGAGACAGATAAAGAATAGGCTAAGGATTTAATTCAAGTTAATGAGGTCCAAAGTTGATGGTTGGACTCCAGTGACTCTCAAAAAATCTTCTTTTGAATCCCACGGAAGTAAAAAAGTCATACAGCTTTGGAACGACACATTTGTGTGTTTTGAGTAAGTACTGTGGCACTTGGACATATGGGCCTACCATATTAAATTACTACCATATTCAAGTCATTTACTATGGTAATGACATGCTACACCAAGGTATTTCTAAGAATGTCATGGTTTGAGTCCA